AACTGAAATTCTGCTACAGAAGGAATTTTCATGCTGAATTAAAAAAAATTGTTTAGATAAACCATTGTACCACCAAACCCAATCTGTGATCTTTCTAAACCCAGGAACATCTTTCGTGCATGTTAGTGCTATTGACTTGGATGACCCTTCCACACCAAATGCCGATTTACAGTATAAAATTCACACGCAGACTCCAAGTCACCCCTCAGAGAATATGTTCCAGGTAGATTCAAGAACAGGGGCTATTTCATTATCTGCAGAAGGTAAGATATCGCTGGGTAGTTTTGTCCTTTGTATTGAACTGTCTGAATAATTTTAGTCCTTAAAATTGAAGGGTCTGAGATCAGTCATCTCCTTGTGTGCAGACATGTAGAAATCAAGCCAGCCCAGTAGATGTAAAGAATATTTTGACAGGTTTGCTTGTGCTCTCCTGTTGAGAGCTGGCACCTATGTTGTTTATGTACCAATAGACTGGAAAACCGCATTACATAGACAAGTCCATCTCACATCAAACTCACTCCGCTGATAAGGCTTCTGGATAATCCAATTTCTACACAATGGAAAAGTAACAGAGCGCAATATCCATTCTGTGATGGAACTCTTTTGTTACATTTTTATATATTACATTACCAGGGCCTTCCATTACCTTTGGTCAAGTAGGGAAGCCCTTTCCAAGAGTTTCCATCAGGACTTGGATTCAGACTTTCAAATCACCTAAAAGTGCCAATCCAATCCCATTGCATTACTCACTTTAATATCACTTCATCATGACCTCCAGGTTGAGTAGATCTTCTACCATCCTGGGAGGAGTTGGCTTCTAGTTGTCTTTAGCTGGGGAATCTGGTGACACAGCTGATATTGCCATACTATAGGAAACTATTTAGTCACAGATTTCTACTAGGTTTGTGCATACAAATCTTTCCATGTAGAACAAGGTTTTATTTGTACCAGATTTGTCTGAAGCTGCAGATTATAAAATACATCTGAGTGCTTAAACATTGTTATTCTTGAAAAATAAAGCCAGATGCTTTGTGTGCACCCACCTGCTGCATAGCTGGTAATGACAGGTTGTACTCATGGTTTTGTAGTGCAATGAGCAGTCTTTTAGAAATTCATTTTGTGCACATGCCAGCAGTTGTCGTGCGCTGGATGGAAAAATTGACAAAGACTGAGCCTATGTGAATGTATAGAGAAGTCAGGAAAGTGCAGCTAAATTAAGTCAATACAAATGGAGAGGGGATTAAATCAATCTGTAGTTTTTTCAGATCCATAATTCAATTCATGCCACAAATCGTGCCTAACTTATTATTTGCTATCAGTGGGGAGTGGGCAATCAAATGGCTTAAGAAAAAAAATAACTCTTGTAAAAAACAGAAGAAAATGGAACAATATTAAATGTTGGCAAAGAGAAGTCCTTAATAGGTTAAATGCCCGTTGCTGCTCAACAACAGACTATCTAGTGTTATGTTTTTTTCATTCCATGCTACAACAGCTGAAGAAGGGTTTCAGTGGATATAGTCTTAGCAGGTCCTGTTGTCTTAGACTTCTTTTTTTTGTAATTGCCACATATTGTAGAATATTGTATAACCAAAGAGAATATTTCCATGATTTTAATTAAAGTATGCATAGATTATTATAAACCCAAATTCCCTCAAAATATAGGAATGCATAGAGCAGCAACTAGAAAATAACTAAAGGATGAAACAGAAAGGGCAGGTGGGGCCAGATTTACAGAGGCCTGCATGAGAAAGGTACAATTGTTTCAACAGCACATTCAAATACTTGTTTTACATTGCAGCATAACTTCTCATGAAGCTGCAATAGCTCGTCATTTGTGCACGGTGTTACTCAGGGGCAGGCAATAATTTTAAAAGAGAGGCCACTTCACAAATTTTTGAAGTGGTCCCAAGCTGCCTCATAAGGAGTGGGGCCTCAGGCGGAACGGGGGGGAGCAGAACACTTCCATGTTCCCCTGCCCATAGATTCTGACTGACCTGGGGGTAGGGGAGTGCGTGAAGTTTTTGCCCATTCTCCCCTCCTTCCCCCTGCCCCCGAGAGAACCATCAGTTTTTCTAAACAGCTGGCAGTTCACTCTAAGTACCATGCAACCCTTGCAGGATGGGGGCAGGGTGGGAAGAGACTTTGCACACAGCCCCCCAGGACAATCAGCTGTCAGTTCACACGAAGCGCTGTACGCTCCTGGTGCGGGGGGAGACTTTGCCTGCTCCCCCGTCCCCAGGGCCTGATTGGCCTGGGAGCAGGGGAGCGACAGGGCATCCATGGGCTGGATCAACCTGCTTGGTGGGCTGGATTCAGCTGCAGAGGCCCTCTTGCCCACCCCTGCTATTACTGGAACATGTATAATTTAGGTGTGAAATGCAAGACCTAGGTCTGAAAATCAGGCCCTGGTTTTACTTATTTTTACATTTTCAGATGCTAGATAGGAGCTGTTACTGTATGTAAAATGCAAGTGGAAGCAAACCCAAGGCTGTGACAGTAGCTCTGTTTCTATGAGTCTGGGGATCAGGAGCTGCCTTGAAAAATAGTGAGTGGGTCATCTCATAGGAGAGCTCTCGTCTGCAGCATCTTAGATAAAAGCTAAAGAATACAGGGGCAGTCAGGAAGCATCTAAACTGCACCCGTAACTTGAAATAGCTACTCAATTTGAGCTACGCAAATTGAATAGCTTATTTTGAAATAGCTTATTTTGTAATTTGGTGCTGTCTACACAGTGCCAAATTTCAAAATAGCCCGTTGTTCTAAAACATTCCTTACTCCTCATGGAATGCCGTTTCCAGGGAGGTTGGAATAGCAAGCCTGTTATATTTTGAAATAATGGGCTTGATGTTAAGCAGCGGGATAGCTATTTTTGGGATATCTCCAGTATCCCCAAAATAGCGCTGCAGTGTAGACATAGCCTCAGGAAACAGAGACATGGCAATTTATTTGCTACACTTATTTCTGTGCTCTGTTTTAATTAGAGGAATCAAAATGTGCGTATTGAGCCAAGCGTCAAACCCATAACGAGGCAGGGTCAGTGGAACTGAGACTTCGAGGCACATGGAGGCACCTATTCAAATATTCTTCCCAAAGTGTCAGCAATACAGTTTGGGACTTGACTTTAATTGTGCTAAAAAGAGTTTAGTTAAGGAAGAGTCCCCTTCTAACAGGGGCCAGAAGAAGCAGGCTGAGAAACTCCAGACTTGCATTTTATTTACTGATGTCACTCCTAGTCCTATTATTTTTCTAGAGGAATGAGCAATCTGGGATAAACCTTAGTGCCTTTGGTGTGAGGCAAAGTGCTGCCTCTGCTTCTCCTCAGAAACCCTAACAGCACTGCTCCTTGGATTCATGTCCGGCTTCATTCAAGCACTATTGGCTGGTTTGGGTTGGGATCACTTGTGGGTTTAGACCCTTTTGTCCAACTTGACAGCTGTAGGGCAGCAAGGGCTGTTTAAATTAAATCTGGAGTAGGGAGGGGGCTGCAAAGCCAGCCCCTGCTACAAGGCCTAAGATTCAATGTGTGAATGTCTCCACCCCTGACGTGCTCCATAATTCCCTGCCATCCCAGTCAGGAGGACTCATTTGCATATAGACAGGGGTGGTGGTTAGGCAATAACGGATTGGTTCAGATCCGGAGTGTGGGTGTGTCACAGGAGTTAGGGAAGGAAGAGATGGTGATTTTCTGTTAAAGAAGAGAATTGGGAGAAGTGTGACACACACACTAGCCAGGGCTGCACTATAGTAAGAAACATCCTGAAGTTATTTCCTCTACAAAGCTATTGGTCAGCATGAAGCAAATTGGCACTGACCATGGATGTCCAGTAGCCTAGGCAGGGGAAGTCTTTGCCTTCCCAAATCACCAGGCATGGCTCCGCCCACCCTCTGCCCCCAGAAAATCTGCTGTCAGTTTGCTGGAGGGACTGTGGCTGCCTCCAGCGTCTGCCCTCCCCAGTCCTGTAGGGGTCAGGCAGGTGGGAGCTGTGCAGCCTCCTCCCTTTCCGGTGCTCCAGGGGCCAGACAGGCTCCCATTTCTTCCCCTCCCAATGAGAGAGGGTGCTCTTGGTGTGCTGCTCCACCTTCTCCCCTCCCCGTGGTGGGGGCAGGGCCTTAGCAGAGGGCTCAAGGCTGTAGGTGGGTCTGGGGCCCCACCTCTCTGAGCTCCAGCTTCACTGCCCGCCCATGGCATTGACCTCTTTCAGCACTAGTGTGAGAGCAGCAAACGCCATGCCGATGAATGCTGGGGTCCAAACGCCCTAGGATCCCAAAACAGCCAAAACATGGTAGCATTGGGTGAATGGGGCCTAATGAGTGGGAACAGGATGGGCCAAATGAGAACCACTGGAAGTCATTTATCCTGACTTTCTGTGACAGGATAAAGTCATATGCTATGGGACATTTGCAGAACACATTTCAGGAAAGATGGGAAATTCAGGTCACTGCCTGTCCCTGAGAAGAATGGGTGATTCACCTTGAATTCTTTCCTGGCTTCAACTCTTATTTTGCCCCTATCACATCCCTCCCCAGGGAGTCCAAATGCATCATCTCTCTCTCTCTCAGCAAATTCTTCTACCGTCTGTGGCTGTTAAATGGCCTGCCCCAGCATTACTGCTTCCTGTAGCTTTAAGAAGTAGAACCAACTTTTGAGGCAACATTTGAGAGAAAAATATCCCACCACTACCAGCAATAAAAGATGATATCAGGAATACACTGTACTTACCACTAGTGTCCCAACTTCCCACAGAAGAACAAAAGTGGTACTGCTACCCCTGCTTTTGTGGAAACAGTAGAGCTGAAGTTAGTGTTCTATGAGTCAGGATGGGCAGGAGGATATAGGAAATTACAGAATCTGACCTCCCTACTGCAAATTAGCTGGTCTAATTGCATTTCCCAACCTACCAAAGGGGGACATTGTTTTCATGTCCCCCATCCAGTTTTCATATTTCTGCTGAAATGGATATACAGTAAAATGTATTTGATGAGATTCTCTTTACTTGCAGGTAGCTCTTTGCTAGACTCCTCCAAAGTCAGGAGTTATAAACTAGTTGTGCAAGTCAAAGACCTGGGAAATCAGTCTCTGGGCTATCAGGCATTTGCAAACGTGGAAATTGCAGTTGTGGAGAATACCTGGATACCTCCAAGTCCCGTTCTCCTTCAAGAACACCTAAATGTGACTTATCCAAAGATCATTTCAAAGGTGAGTCAAGAGAGCACATTTTTCAAATGCATGTTACTTGGTGGAATTGAGGATGTCACACCTCTTAGAATTGTTTCTAAGAGCTTTCCTGCATTAGCAGGAAAGGCTTTGAGCCTATAAACTCTTATGCAGATGAGTAACCTTGGGTATATGAACTGCCCCACTGAACTCAATAATATTGCTTACATGTGCACTTGCAAACCTGCAGCCTTCTGAAAGAACTGCTATGGTCAGAAATCTAAAAAGCCAGAGTAAAACTGGCATAGCAGCAGACTGAGTTTAATTATTAAGCATGCTGAAAAGCATTACTCTTCTGTGATCTCACAGTAATGACTGATGGACGTGTGCTTCATCCATGCCATAGTATTTAGCACCCATTGGTTTTTCAGTGATTTATCAATGTATTTATCAAAACAGTCCCAGTGTTTGCCATTCATATCCATATACACAGAAACAACAGCGGACGTCACTGCTATATTTCCCTAGCTTTCTTCATCCAAACCTGCCTGATCACCTGTAAACCTCTCCCCATCTCAGCAATGCCAGAAATGCAGCGCTGTCTCTGTGTAATGCACAGACACAAACCTGCCGTTGTTCTGTTTATTGGAACTCTGAAGGGAATCCCTCAGGAATGAACAGATGAAGAGGGGGAAAAAGGTTGCTTAAAATAACATTCTTATTTTAAACACAGCACACATACTGCACGGTCTCTCCTCCACTCCTCTGATGGCACGTCAAGAAATGCAATAAGGGATCTTTCAGTCACACAACTCCATGTACGTGATTTGGAAATAGTCATATGCGTTAAGAAACATAAAATCTAAACAAAGTTATCCAAGAAACACATTAGTGCTAGCATAAATAAATGGTGTTTAAATTAGAATAAGGCCTCCGTAATGGCTTTTCCCTTGTTATTTTGAGACTCGACGAGGCATTACACACAACCCGTTTGTAACAGTTACCATTCCACTTTCTCCTTGTTAGGAACTGTTCTGCACTCATGGAGCTGAAAGGGTTTATACTTGTAAAAACAACTGGCAGGTCATATTTTACTAGGGCTGTACAGTCTAAACAAAAGTGTTTGTAGCTACAACATTTCTATGGCAACAGTAAAAAATTGCTCTGAGTTTGCTTGTCCACTTTCCCTTATAATATCTGGCCTTAGCCTGCTTATCCCTTTTCCCTTGATGTTATGATATTGCAGACCTTAAAAGAACCAATTTAAATCTGAAATTAAATTTCTAATCTGAAGTGATTTAACTTTCAGTCTGTTAAAGAATGCCAGGCAAATCTTTCAATGATTTGATTTAGCTTTGGATGGTGAGCATATATAGATTATGCCACAGAATTACATACTTGGACTACCTGTCCCAAAGTTTCCTAAGAATTGTCAAAGCATTATTAGACATTTAAATTTTATATACATGGTGAATGGGGAACAGTGGACATTTGCCATTTCATCTGCAGCCTGAACATCAATGATAGTACCTTATACCAACTAGTGCATGTCACTAAAGGGTCTCAAAGCACACTTAGGGTAGGTCTACTCTGTGGCGCTATTTCGGGATATTTCCAGTATCTTGAAATAGCTATTCTGTATCTTTTAAACAAGCCTGTTATTTCAAAATAGCTTTTGAAATAACGGGCTTGCTATTCTGATGTCCCTGTAAACCTCGTTGCACGAGGATAAGGGATGTTTCGGAATAGTGCTCTATTTCGAAATTTGGGACTGTCTACAGTGCCAAATTTTGAAATAAGCTATTTGAAATACACTCATAATTAGCTATGCAATTTTCATAGCTCTCATTGAATAGCTTATTTTGAGCTACGGGTGCAGTATAGACGTACCCTTACAGACATTAAGTATTTAAGCCTTGCCAGCCCTCCAAAGGGCAGGTAGGCAACTACTATGCTTATTTTCACAGTAACAGAGCCACATTGATGTTCAGGCTGCAGATGAAATGGCAAATGTCCACTGTTTCCCATTCACCATGTATATAAAATTTAAATGTCTAATAATGCTTTGATCACTGGATGATAAGGTTTGTGATGAAGACCCACAAACCTAATTAAAATCAATAGGATCTGCTCAGCTTTGAAAAATCTGGCTCTGAGAGACTTGCCAAAGGACATAAAAAAAAAATCTGATGGTATTAAGGATCCAGTCCAGTTCTTTTGGTTCCTAGAACCATGCTGTAGCCAGCAGACTACATCTATACAACACATTCAGATAATATAAGTTGCTTTTAAAAGTCTTTTGTGGCAAAAGAATGGCAGCTTGGTTTTCAACCACAGCAGTTTTAAAGACAGATACACTTTGTCTAGGAATCATAGCAATGCGGCTTGTTCCAAGTCTCACCCCTTAGCCTACCTTTTAAAAAAGTGCACATAATTTTAAGGTAAGGTGCTGGACGGGTATCTCCAGTGATCAACAGCTTCCATTCATCCATAAAACAAAGAAAAGATGGGTGCTGATTGTGCAAACAAACCCATGATGCTGTGCCAATATACCTCAAGGCTGGCCTGAATGGAAAACCTTATTGGAGTGAGAAAGTATTTCATTTACTGTGTATAGTCAATGTCTTGTTTCTCTTCTGAGAAGGCCAACAAAGGTGCCAATAGTGATCATTGTGACAATGCCTATGGGTGACCACTTGTTTGCTAGGACTGAACTGAGACCACCAACTTGTTTCAGTGTGCCCATTCAGGAGATGGCACCTTTCCTGTTTTATTGGACATTTCCTGTGAAACTTGGAATACTGGTCATCTGTGTGACTATCTACCCCCTTGATACCAGGTTAATTGGAATAGCGGAGAAGTTCGTTACTATCTGAAGGAGAGCTTCCCTCAAGGCCTTTTTTCAATTGACCTAGAAGGGAATATCTATGTGACACAAGAAGTGGACAGAGAAAACCAAGCAGAGGTACGTATGAACATAAGGATCAAATAGGGACCCTACCTGAGTTAGTCCAAAGTGAGTATCCAACCCTTAATTAGCACTAAGATTTGACTAATGAGAAAATTCACTGGATACTTACTCACAAACCTTCATGTGTGTGAAACACAATAATAAAATTAGAACCATGCAACTAGAGTCTGTCTATGTACTTATATGGCCTTCATCACAGGGAAGTTGGAAAGTACTATTATCCCTATTTTACAGCTAGATAGGGAAATAAGGCATGGACTAGATTAAGTACTTGCCTAAGTTCATATAGAAAGTCTGTGGGTTGAGCCAAAAGTTAAACCTAGCCCAGTTCCCTATTCCTTAGGCTATCCTTCCTCCCTTATTAGAGACAGATTCTGCTATCATTTATACCAGTGGTACGCAACCTTTTTTGATCTGTGACCCCCATACCGCGGGGGCTGCCAACTGCCGGGCCCAGCCCCCAGCCTGCCAGATCTAGGTGCTGTGCCACGGGGGCTGCCAACTGCTGGGGCCAGCCACTGGCTGGCCGGATCTAAGTGCCACGCCGCACGGTTGCACACAGCCCCCGGCAGGCCAGATATAAGCGTCGCGATCCCCTGGGAAGACATCCGTGACCCATTGGTGGTCGTGACCCACGGGTTGCTCACCACTGATTTATGCCAGTGGCCCTCTGAAAAGAACAAATTCAGATTTTGGCCTATGCTGTGTTGAAAAGAATCCCCAGCTGGGAGAGAGAGCATACAAGGCTATCTGGAGCATTTCTGAGGCAAAAGGGGAGGGCTGCATAGAATACTGCTATTCTTAAGAAATCCCTGGCTGCAACTGGCCTTTGGGGTCCCTTCTCAATTTGTTCCCCGGAATCACCTGGGGAATAATGAGGTGGCACTGAGTGTGGATTCTGAGTGGAGCATGGCCAGACTCAAGGATCTGGGACCTTACTGTCTGCTCAGTTTTGGTCTACATGTTGATAAGAGGTAATGTCCTGGCCACAATGCCATGCATCACACTTTGCCAAGGTGATTGTTTAGAACAGGAACTATTGATTTTTCTGTATTAAGGGAACATATGGACCTAATATTTATAGCAGGAGTCCTGGGCCTTCCCTAGAGTAGAAAAGCCTGCATGCTTGGTTTCTAAAGTCTGCTTTCTACCATTAGTGATGCAAGTTTTATCTTCAAACTCTAGATCAGGGGTGGGCAATAATTTTTTGTCGGGGGCCACTTCAAAAATTTCTAAAGCAGCCTCAGCCACACCAGAAAGGGCGGGGCCTTGAGAGGAAGGGGTGGGACTGGGATACTTCTGGGTTCCCCACCCCCAGACCATAATTGGTCTGGGGGTGGGGGAGCGCCTTTGCCCACCCTCCTCTTCCCTCTAGGTGACCATGCCCCTGGCTGGGAGGAGACTTTGCATGCTCCGCCACCCCCAGGCCAATCAGGTCCTGGGGGCAGGGGAGTGTGCGAAGTTTCCTCTGCTCTGTCCCTGCCCTGCATAACTCTTAAAAGTGCCACGTGCTCTTGGCAGGGCGGGAGGAGGCTTCATGTGCTCCCCTGCCCCCAGGCCAATCAGAGCTCGGGGGCGGGGGAGCATGCGAGGACTTCTCCTGCCCTGCCAGGAGCGCGTGGCGCTTCTAAGTGCTGCATGCTCCTTAAAGGGCGGGGCCAGGGTGGAGGAAACTGATTAGCCTGGTGGTGGGGGAGCACGCAAAGCCTCCTCCAGCCTCATCAGGAGCGCATGGCGCTTCCAAACCCTAATGGGCTTTGGGGCGGGGGAGCGGCAGGGCCTCCGTGGGCCGGATCCACCCACCTCATGGGCCGGTTCCGGCCCTTTTCCCCACCCCTGCTTTAAATCCTTATCCCTGGAATGTATCAAGCCGAGTACACCATGTCCAATGAAGTGCAAGTCTAAAGGCCTGGTACAAAAACCTCTTTATTTTACTGTAATTTGAACCTTGATTCTATACTACCTCTATAGTTCATAAATAGAATGACATTCTGGCTCTCTCTTCCAGAGACATGCTAGTCCAGAAACAATTATTAGCTCATGGGACAAAGTCTCATGTTTCGGCTATGATCCAAGATTAATATATTTTGGTAAAGCTTAGTTTCCAAGTGAGACTGGGCTGGTAACTCAACTGTTTATAGTATCCACTGTCATGATTCACATTGAGTATAGAGTAGCATATCAAGAATTAATTTTATATGGCTCACTTTCTCCAGCTAGAGGGACAATCTGTTTAGCTCATGGGACAAAGTCTCATGTTTCGGCTATGATCCAAGATTAATATATTTTGGTAAAGCTTAGTTTCCAAGTGAGACTGGGCTGGTAACTCAACTGTTTATAGTATCCACTGTCATGATTCACATTGAGTATAGAGTAGCATATCAAGAATTAATTTTATATGGCTCACTTTCTCCAGCTAGAGGGACAATCTGTAGCACAGAAAAGAGAAAGAGGAGAGAATTATAAATATCATGAGTCCAGTCCTAAACTCCTTCTCTTCAGCAGGTTTCAATAGGAAATTTGCCAGATTAAGTCGTACAAAATTAGGCCCTATGTAACTGATAAGAAGTCTCATTAAAATTCTGTACAGTGTAATAGAGAATGGTAACTAGTGGAATTTCACACTGACTTGTATCCCTGCTATGATAGTCTCTGGCATGGCTTAAAAAGAAAGCATCTCATTCTTTATTGAATTCTATAGACTTTTAGAGTAATTTCTATAGAACTCCCACACAGTTTTTCCAGAACACATTTGTTCCATCCCAATTGCACTCAGTAGGGATTTTTCAAAAGGGCAACTATCAATGCTAAGTGCTATTAAATGAATAATGTTGATTAAATCTTAATTATACATTTTCTTATGAATTCATTTGAACATGGTCAGTATGAGATTCAGATTTTTGCTGAGAACAAGGATGGAATGTTGTACAGTGATCCACTAAAGCTCCTGATAACCGTGACGGATGTGAATGACAATGGGCCAGTATTCTCCCAGGAGATTTATCAGGTAGAACTCAAGGAGAACACAGTCAAAGGTGGGTGTTGTCTGTATGTAGCACTACAGGAAGCAAAATGGTTATGGTGGCCACCATGTGGCTAGGAGCACTACTGATAATATGGCTATTCTGTACCTCAGGCCCAGTCATACAGGCCTTACAAGGCAAGGCATCATTGAGAGCTTTGCTTGCACAAGAAGCAGGAAGTATAATTCAGAGGGTCATAGATTTTTAGGGACAGAGGGGCCATTAGGATCATCTAGCCTGACTAGGAGTGGTCTGAGGCCGGCTGCAGCAGCTGGCGCCCTAGGTGGGGTGGCACAATTGGCGCCCCTGCCTGCACAGCCATCAATGGCCGTGACATCATCATGGGGTGCCCGGACCAGCGGTGCCCTAGGCATCTACCTAGCTCACTTAGGCTCACGGGCCACCCAAGCCTGACCTAAAATAAAATGCAAGGAGAAAATTTGAACTCAGTCCCCTGGCATTCAAAGGGGAGTGTTTGCTCCTTTAAGTCTCTATGGGTATGTTTACACAACAAGGGTATTTCGAAATAACTTATTTCAGAATAGTAACTCCAGAAATAACTATTTCAAGAGATCATGTCCAAACTACAGGCAGTCCCCGAGTTACGCGGATCCGACTTATGTCAGATCCGCAGTTACGAACGGGGCTTTTCTCGCCCCGGAGGACGGGAGCGGCGGGACGCCCAGATGCGCCGCGGTCCGCCACCCCCATCCTCCGGGGCGAGAAAAGCTGCTCCCCGTCTCCCTGGTCTGCAGGGAGACGGGGAGCAAAGCCTTGGAGTACACCCGCAGCGGGACAGCCCAGGCGCGCTTGAGTTGTCCCCCTGCGGGCATACTCCACGGCTTTGCTCCCAGTCTCCCGACCAGCAGACCAGGGAGATGGGGAGCAAAGCCTCGGAGCACGCCAGCAGTGGGACAGCCGTGGTGCATCTGGGCTGCCTGGACTGTCCTGCTGCCCGCGTGCTCTGCAGCTTTGCTCTGTGTCTCCCAGGTCAGCAGACCAGGGAGACGGAGCAAAGCCGTGGAGGACTTGGGCGGTCCTGCCACCCCCATCTCCCTGGTCTGCTGGGGTGGGGGAGTGCAGCTAGTGCCCCCCCCCCCCCCCACCCCCAGCTTTTT